TCTTCTTGGAGCACGGGCTCTACCTCTAACTCCTCTTGCCATTGATTATTTCGAAGAAAAAAGTCGAAAGAAAAGGGGAAGGAGTTCGAATTCGAAGAAAAATAAACTGAAATCAAAGGAATTTACCTTAATCTGAAGCGAAAGTTGCGATTTACGAGTTCGTAGTGGCAAGTCTCAGTTTCTAAGCTTAATGCTCGGGGAATTTGCGAAGTTTTGATGCGGGTTCTTGGTTTCTCTCTCGAGAATTCTGGGTTTGTGTTGGTGAATAAGTGAGGAGAGATGACGCGCCTCTGTTTATATCTCCAGGTATGGGATACGAGGAGTCTGCGTTTTAATTTCTCTTAAATACTCCACTAAGTAACCGTTAAACACATGATCTTGTGATTAAACTGCCCATTATCCGTCCAACTTCCACAATCATCTGCCTTAACCGTTGTTATCTCATTAATTACGGTTTAAATTCAAATTTTTGGATTAATTAAATCATTTACTTCCCTCCTTTTCTGAATTAAATCAAACCCGACCCGTCATCCTTCCAAATCGGTTCTGGGGGGCAAGTTGTTTGGGTCCAATTTAGTCCAATTGGGCCTAAGCACTAAATGATCCAATTTAAAAGCCCAAGGTCAAGGTTCAACTCTCCAATTGTGCTAAAGTCAAAGGTCAGCCCACAAAGCAAGCCAATTGGGCTAAGGCCCAACCTCTCCATGTATAATGAGGTATAAAAGCCATCATATTGATACATTCAAGAAGGGGATTCATTCAGATTCGGATTCATTGATAGATTCATATGTTCATTCATATATTCTGATATATTCCATAAAAGCCTCAAGCAACAAACTCTCTTGCATAGTGTCCACTTCTTACACATTGTACTGACTTTAGCATCGGAGGGGCCTTCCTCGGCAACACCCCCGAGGCTAGTTTACGTGTGTTTACTGTGCAGGAAACCTTGGGCCCAACATAACTTGGACCGAATCCAGCCTTCTCCATTTCAGCGGACCTTCGGCAAGGTCCCATTGTTTTCACCCGAAATAGAATCAAATTTGCATTTTAACACTAAAAATATGTAATTTTTGGAATGATTTAATCAAATTTGCATTTTATCCTAAAAATATGTGATTTTTGGATCCTTAATTGATAATTGGATCAAATATTTTGATAATTGAATCAAATATGCCTAAAATGATGTGTTTTTTGGATCCTTGAATCATTACTTTATGTATTGTAGATTCCTCTGAAGAGAAACCATAAAAGATTGAACACTTTACCAAGGGCTGCTCGGCACCGGAGTCATTTCGGATATATTCGGTGATGGTTCGCTCACTGCCTATGTTGTCGCTTGTTTACAAGATACTGTTAATGACTTTTACCAGTGCTTTGATGCTTTGCTTGTCTGAATTCTGGTGTTATCTTGCTGTTTTATTTTTCTTAAGTTACCATACTGATGCTAGATAAGAAGCACATTTATTTTTCTATTTATGTAAATGTTGTACATAGACAAGATTTTTGTAGCTGTAACGAAGGGACGATTCTGAGTTTTTTGCTCCAGAGTAATATACTACAGGAAACCTTCACTCTCTGTATTTATATGTTAATGGCCTTGATGCGATCCCTCTCTTTAAACATGATCGCGATTATGCTATGAGTTGTTTCTCTTCCATTTGATGAGAGGCCGCAACAATACTTTTGTTATACATGATGCCTGAGTCTAATTATTGTTAAACTCAAAGTTGCAAAGTACACAGTTCATAATTGCTAAATTGCATATTTTTATATACAGTATGTATTTTGTTTTTGTTTTCCAATACACTTGTTTTTTATTACAGGATTTCTTACGTAAACTGAGTAGTATAGTAAAAAGAACTAAACCACAGATTGCTAGAAAAAGGAAGATAAATAAAACTGGAACTATGAAATACTAGTATGGAAGATCTCATATGTTTTTTTTTTTTTTTTTTCTCACTTGTTATTTAATGCACTTAATGTACTTTGATACATTAAGAGATACTCCCTCTATTTTTAAATACTTGCTCCACTTTCCTTTTTCGGCCGTTTTTAAATACTTGCTCTATTTCCTTATTTGGAAAGTTTTTTACGATATTTAACTTATTTCTCTCACCCATCACATATTTTCTATCCTCCAATCATCTCCATTACTTTGCTTTTTACAGTTTTATATTCTTCCACTTACCCCACTACCTCCATATATTATTATTTAAAAACGGAGGGAGTGGACATATGTTTTTTTTTTTTTTTTTTTTTTTTTTGACAGGATAATATATGTGATTACACATAATAACTACGGAGTAATATATACGCTATATATATACTTCATAATACAATAATACAAATTGGCAGATATGCTATAATAATGATCTAATTAACAAGCTAAGGCAATTCTAATAATCAAGTTTATACTCTAGTTTTCCCTAAACAAGGTGCTTAATATGCTCATATTCATACCTAAACAAGAGCACTTTAATTGATTTATAGCGATAGATACTTTATTTAATTTTAATGATTATATTGTCAACTAAATAAATGGTCTAGATTTAATAACAAATATCAAATGCTCAATTAAGAGATTACAATGCTTAAAAAATTTGCAATAGCCATTCCAAAAGTACACATACGGAGTATAATTTAATAGTTAGTACTCCGTACATCAATTACCATTTACCAATATTATTTTTACTTTTGTACTCGTTCAAAGGAAGAAAAAGAACCCTCACTTTGGCCTTTTGTATGGAATATCATTTTTCTATCGCCTCTAATTATTCTTATAAAAAATTTAACACTGATTCAGAACTATCTACTCAAGTACATTTTTATCTTTTTTATATTATTGCGTGCGTGAGAGATTTTATGATTTAATATATACTGCGAATAAAATAAATAAATAAATAAAAAATTAAACCATTTTTTATTTTATTTATTTATTTATTTTATTTTTTGTTTTTGGTGTGGTTAGAAAGGAGATGTGGCGAAGAGGGTGTGATGAAAGAGGATGGAGACATGCAAACCATAAACATTCCTGGCAGCAACTACAAACACAAACACAAACACAAACACAATCACAGACATATTAATGCTATTTCAATTTTTTTTTTAATTAAAGTAAAATAAAAAAATAAAGTACAACAACCAATACAGTGGGATTATATTCTAAATGGTGGGCCAAAAGAATCTGGGCCGATATCCTTATTGCTTAACTGGTCAAAATATCTGGGCCCAATTATTCCAACATTTTTTTTTAATTTTTATTTTTTTTAAAAAAAAAAAAAGAAAAGAGCGCGTTGGACAAAATCAACGACCTTTGAATTGTTAAGGCGCCGAAATACGTTAAGACAGTTGCAACTTCTCAACAGCATTGTCAAATCATTTGGGTAATTTTCATTGGCCCATTGATTATTTTTTTTAAAAAATTATCAATACCACTAAAAAACTACAATTTGTTACCTGAAATATTAAATTGATAAAATATTCACTTAACAAATTATAACGATTTATATAAGGAATTTGAGTTAAGAAAAATAGGTTTATTTGATCAAGTTGAATGAAATAATTTGGTTGAGATTCTAACGAGGTTTTGGCCATAAATATGATAGGTCCTACCTTACATCAACATCTATATCACTTTCAAATCAATATTGAGGTGGATATCATTATCACTAATAAATTGGATCGATAAATTCATGCTTTTAGTTTTCTACTCCACATGTACACCCATCGTATCCCCTATTGGCAGATGAGCTGCCTTCCAATTCCTAATCGAGACACGTTCACCTTTAGAAACCCGATCATCGACTAGCTAAATCCATACCCATCATGGATAGTAAAGGGTGTAGAGAAAGGAATACTTGAGTACTCTTACAAAAATGGTGATAGTAATGTAACAATATCTTCATTTTTTTTTTCACAATTTGTCTACTCACAACACTATGAAGATAACCCTAATAAAATCATACACCACAAACTAGTTAAAAAATGGATCAAAAAATAACTCACATTGTATCAAGTATCAACCCTCATGGGTTCCAATACAAATAAATAGTGGGACCAATTACCAAAGAAAACACATAGACAGAACAAGTATGGGTATGACTAATGGTAAAGTTAGAACTATTAGAAAAGAAAATGTCCCCAATTTTTATTTTTTCCATTTTTTACTCATAGTGGAGCTTTTGCCTTTTCTGTTCATTACAAAAATGGACCACAAACCTCATCCATTATAATCTCAATAAAATCTCCTTTCCCATGAACATAATTTTTTTTAGGGGGTGGTATGCAGCCAATCTAGGTTGGGAAGATAAGGTAAACACAATGACCACACGTAAGAATATGCTTCGACAGCGTTGGATCGTTTCAGATAGACACATCAAGATATTGATCCCTTTACGGAAAATAATCTATCTGTTTGTCTACACTAATTTAGGGTAGGATCAAGAGGATTTCGAGGCACAACCAAAGCTCAAAAAGAGGTAGAAAATACTCAATATAACAACGAATAAATATTCACAATGGGGTTGAAAATCTATATGCAAATATAAATCTAAATAGATGACATTTTTTCAAACAGCTGTTTAGTCTTCATATTTATTGGTTTTCCATGAAATAAAAAAGGAGACGAGAAAAAGGAAATCAGTGATTTTTTTTTTCCGACACGATTTATTTGAGATTACTTATATACTATCTTGGTAAATTGGTAGCAATGAATACTGCCTTGAAAATATACGGAGTAATTACCTAAAACAGAATTAAAGTGTTCTAGGGTATTTTAGTGCTGCACAGTTTGCAGTCAAATTGTTAGAAAAGCAAGTGGAAAAAAGGTAATTTAAAGAATCAAATAAAGTTTTTAACAAAAATGGATACATGCAAGTTGCTATATGAGGAAAAAGCTTTTCCTGTTCAACTGCAAAAAGAAGTAAATAAGGAAAATGAAAAATGGAAAAAAAAAAAGGAAATCTAAACATAAAATTTCACAGCTAAAATTTTCAAACTGCTTCAAAAACATACATCTTCAACACAAATGAATTTTGAGTATCCAGTAAACTTATTTAAAGGGAATCCGAGATGGATATCCCGCTATTGTTTCACACTATAAATCAAAGAAAGCCTCACAGCATACAATCTGAGGACAAAATAACAAAGTAAAATATACGTAATGAGTACATGAAATTCGACTAGCTAGTCGTTACAGCTTGTTAAAAGAGGGAAAAAAAGAACAAAAACACTGATCTATATCTGATATACTATCACTCGCTCTCTCAGTTTAGTGCACTGATAACTATCTCAAATGAACGTTTTGAGTATATCCCGCAATCTGATTTTACAGCTCAACCAAATACCAAGAACCTAATTTCAAAGGAAGAAAAAGAAAAAAAAGTTCAAGTTTTAAGCCTTATCTGGAAAAAAACCTTCTTAACTGCCCTTAACTGAATTTGTATAAGAGACGAAATCCCTGTTATTATCGTGTGCTGAATTTCCTTATATGCTGAGACATATGAACGAGGGAATAACTCACAATCTTATCACTTGTTTAGCTGGACTTCCTGGATATTCCTAGCAATTACCATCTGCTGTCCAAATCACAGTTTTCTACGCAGCAATTCCTGAGGGAAGTTGAAGAAAAAGAAAATTATTAAATTTAAGTTTACTATAGATAATGCAATTCTAAATATAGCCAAAAAAAAAAAAAAAAAAAAAATCAACTTGGCATACATTTGAGCAACTGTTCAAAACATAAATATAAAACCCAATTAATCGCAAATACGGAATAGTAAAACAAAATGATTTTTAAATACTGGCACATGTAGAGAGCCAATTCTTCTAGCATTGATGAAGCTGAAGGATTTTACAGAATTCTATCATATCTATCACCTAGACGAAAATCAGAACTTTCAAGCACAAACTTCTAGTCCAGAGACTAACATTCATTCATGAATTTAAAGGCAGAGGACTCGAATACTTGAATAGTAGCAAGAGTGACTATTCCTATGTTAAACACAATTCTGTAAGCCTCCCTCAGACCAGAAAAGGAAGAGTTGTAGTTGATGTGGATCAAAACAATGCTACCTTATGCCATCGAAACCAAAATGTCATAGAGATGGCACGGCCAATCCCTGACAGGACAATTCTATGACAATAAGTTTCCTCCAGTATCAGGGTGACATTCCTAACCCAGGAGAGTAAGGGACTGACCCGTATAAACCAAACCTTTTGGGTATGCCTAACCTGCCTGATGTTGAAACTGGTGTTCACTCCAATCACATGACTTAAAAATTATTTCGGCTTCATGCTGCTATCTTACACTGAAGCTAGGAAAATAAAAGAGGACTAAATATATATTCTAGTCTTTCCAGTCAGCCCTAACAAGGAAAGCAATAATATTAAGTAGACTAAGTATCTATCGGTGGATATGGAAATCAATTATACTGTTGAGGCTGAGGACTTCAAAAACCTAGTAATATAATCCAACACATTCTAAAGTAATGCATCACTTCTAAATTCAAAGTGATGCTATCTTTCACTGAAGCTAAAAAATTCTATAAGAAACTTAAGTTCACAGCAAAAGATAAAGAAGAAAATACTCTTGGACATAGCAAGACAGAAATAGGGAAGAAAAACTACTCTTATTCTACCCTAATTTTCTTTTTGTTCAATGGATAAAAGAAAATGAGCATGAAGTTTGTTTAGATGACACTGCAACTCAGGTTTGACCTGAAAGGAGCACAAACTAGGTCAAGTTTTGTGTTTTGACTGATGAGTGAAGGTCAGTTTTATGTGTTAAAATGTTTTGGATATTTTCCAACAAGGGTACACCAAAATCAAAAGGCATGGGAGTCGGGCTTTAAGACACACAGATAACTATGATCCGGAATAATCATACTTGGCCATTTGATATTAATATCCTACAATCCCCTAAATTTCTAGCATCTTTACAGGCAACTTACAAAAGTTCAACCTAGATCTAAGCTAGCACATGAATATTCATAATTCAACTCTCTTTGGTAAAATCATAAATTGCAAAGTTTATGGAAAGGAAGGGAAATTAAAGAAGTTTACCTCTACTTGCTTGTCTACTTGACGCACACTATAGTTTCCAATTAGACCCTCAGAAGTTCTTGATGCAATATCTGCGCTGCCTAAACCAAAGCCGAATGTACCAGATCCATCAAGCTCAGGAGAAGTAGCACGCCATGTTGAATCACCATACCCTGACGTACCACGATATAGGTCACCATATGATGTATCAAAACCACCTGTTGATGCTGCAAATGTAGATGGGGAGCAACATCAGTGTTATGAGTTCTTCCATAGCCTCCACCGCTCAACCCATAACTTTCACCAAAACCATACCCGAGATTCCCACTGCTATATCCAGAACCATTACCCCCACCTTGGGATGTTGTAGGAGATGTACCCCAATTGGCTCCATTGTTACCAAACGAGACCCCAAAATTTCCACTACCAGATCCCAGAAAGCACCAGGACTGGGGGATTTGTAGGATTGTTAAAAGATCCATTTCCCCAGACATTTCTTGCTGTTGAATTTGCCAACGAATCACCCCTTGTATTACCAACATTATATCCGATTGGAGTGTTGTACCTGTTTGAGTTGCCACTATAATAAGGTCCCAAAACACGACCATAACCCTGGTTGTTGCTGAAATTAGAATTGGCACTGTAGTTAGCACTTAACCCTGGCTCCATATTCATATTCATATTCATACCCATTCCATATCCAGGATTACCAAATGGTGGAAGCCCAGTTCGACCAGTAACAAGCGGATTAAGTCTACCATATCCAGCAATAGAGTTAAGATTGTAGCCTTGAGCATAGTTGTTAATGAAGTTGCTAGCCCTACTCATGCCATAATTATATCCTACTACAGGGCTGCGACTAGGGCCTGGAGACATCTCTTTAGGTACAGCTCGCTTAACCTCAACCATTTTTCCATTAAGTTCATGGAAAGTTCTATGCAACACCCTATCAACAGCATCTTCTGAATCGTAAGTAATGAACCCAAACCCTCTTGGCCTTTGGGTGTTGTGATCATACATTACCACAACATCTGTAATAATACCGAATTGATCAAAGTACTTCTTGAAGTCACTCTCGGTAACTGTTGATGCTAAACCTCCTACAAATATCTTTTTGGTACGTCCAGGACCGGGAGATCCTTGGATCATTATTATTTCTACTCAGAAATTTGCTGATCATCCCTTGGGACTGCTTTCTTTGCTTCAACCTAAGCCAAAAAGGTCAAAGAGAAACAATTTTCATCAAAAATCATGTCAAAGTCAATTTAAACATCTAGTAGCATGTCTGTACATTACTCATTTCAAGCTACACAAGTCGCAAACTGACTGATCAAACATGTCAATGCAACTTAGCGAGGCTATAGCAAGCACTAATGAACTAATGTACACAGCATAATTATTCGACATAAGAGCTAATGCACAATCTGAAATTACGTTATCAAGGTATGCAGAACATCAACAATCACAATCAATCTACTCACTGTTCGGCCATCGATCATGTGCTTGTCCATCACAACTCTCTCAGCAACAGCAGGATCAGCAAAGACAATAAAAACCGAAGCCACGGGCACGGCCTGTAATTCGATCCCTCATGATCACAGCTTCCACTACTTCTCCATATTGCCCAAAATACTCCTTAAGCCTACTCTCATCCGTGTCCCATGAGATCCCACCAATGAAAAGCTTACCAGATCTGATTCCATTTTTTTCCTTCTTATTTTTCTGCAATTCAATTTCAATAACATCATCATAAACCTCATAAAGGGTTTTCATTTATTCCCATCATTACCATAAACTCTAAAATGCAATAAAATTAAGCAATCATAATGCAAACATCAAAATTCAACCTAAAAATAAAAATTATACAGCTAAATTGACTATTAATAGATCAAAATCATCAAATTTCAAATGCCCAACTCAGCAAACGACCAATTCAATGAAATTAAAGGCAAAAAAACAAACTAAATCGACATAAAAACCAAAATTAAATTTAAAAATTTACCTCTTTTTTTTATATGAAATGAGCAGAACCCAGTATAGAATTCTGATCAATGAAAAAGGGGGATATTGCCAATTTAATCCAGGGACATCGGATCGTGTACAAATCAATCTAGGATTCCTGAATCAATGGGAAAATAAATAGAAAATCAATAAACAAAGAAAAAACCCAGAATTAATTATGAGAAAAATGGGAAATGAGAGAATTAGAGAGAGAAACACCGATTGAAAGGAAACCCAGATGCGAAAACTAAGAAAGAAGAAGAGGAATGATAAGGAAGAAGGAGAAGAGAGGATGAGGTCATCCTCTACAAGGCTCTTTCTTTCTCTCTTTTCTCTTCCCCTTTTTCTATATTTCTTTGGTTTATTCCACCCCTTTTTTATTATTTTTTTTTCAAATATTGGATTGGTAAAAATAAATAAAATTATAGAAAATTGAAATTTAGATCCTACAACCCGACCCATACAGATTTACCATTCAAAATAAAAGAACACATGAAATACTTGTAGGTTATAAAATATTTAGATCCTCGCAACAATAATTGAGAAGGGACATGAACTTAACCATCCATAACTGATCCTAAATTTGAATTAGATCAAAGGGGTAAATTAGGTGGAACACAAAGAAAAAAAATATATTATAAAAATATGCTTCGAAAATATTTTTTTCACTTTTTGTTTTGTTTTATGTTTATCAATGTATAAATCATGAATTTCTTAGGGCTTGTTTGGCATTGTTTTTTGTTTTCAGTTTTCAGTTTTTTTTAAACCAAAAATTGGAAACAAGAAAAAAAAGGTATTTTCACTTTTCTATTGTCAGTTTTCAAAATTAGCATGATTTTAATAAGTTTGACTAATTTTTTATTCATTATATGACATATATCATACACTTTTAAGATACAAAAAACTGAAAACCGCAATTTGTTGGTAATAAAATTATGAAAAATTACGGAGTGATATTTTAAGAGTATATATTGAATTAAGCTAATAGGGTTAGTTCCACATGATTTTACATGTATATTTTTTAAAATTTTACAAGTGTATTTTATAGTTTAAGGATACATGAATTAATACGAGTACTCTATCTGTATACAAATTCAAATTGTACACATTTAATAACGGAGGTATCAAATATTCATTCATAGAAGAACATATCATGAAATAACCTAGAATTGTACTTTATATAATTATAAAAATACTTTGTATATTAATAATATATATATAAGCAACTTATTGGTCTAGAACTCTAGCCTTACAATTTATAAGGGTGTTATTGAAAAAAAGAACATAAACTATATAAATAGTTTATTTTAAGGGTCAAGCAATCTCAAATTATCGTAGTGTGCAAGAGAATATTTGGAAGGGTCGTGCTAATGCGCTATAGTACTGCAGTAGTTGCAAAAAAATATTGTATGGAAATTACATTATTTTTTTAAAAAAATTAGAAGTATCTTCAGATGATTAAATTAAACAAGTATATCACGTAATAACGACAATATAACTCCATTACAAAATGTTTTATAAATAACATAAAATTGCGTTTACGTATGTAACTTACAATAAGTATTTTTTTTCATCTAACTAGATTTATAATAATATGGTTACAATAAAACAGTTTAAATTACATAACATTTAGGCTGATGTCAAATTTCTTTAATTTGAACCAATCATGCACAATGGTAGTTTATTAGAACAAAATAATTAATATGCAAAATGATTTCGAATACAATTATGTCTAATTATGGTCATTAGAAGTATTTTTTAGGCAATTTTGGATCAAGTAATTAGATATGAATTACTTCAAGATCAACTTATAGATTTATGTCATTAAGAGTGCTATGTAAGTAAGGAAACTTCAAGGGTAATCCAGCCCAAGTCTTTAAGATAAGCTGGGCGGGTGAAAGGGGATAAGAGAATCTTAACCCTAAAAAAATTGCAACGGATAGAAATCAAATTTTTTACCTCGATGACAACGTCATATGTTATATCTATATCAATTAATCACCTAAATTACTTGATTTACATTCCACTTAGCTCAAGCCAGTCTAAGGGTTTGTTCTGATTTACTGAACTGAAATAACTGATTGGAGCTGAATTGAACTTAATAGAGATGAAATGAATTGTTTATGAGAAAACGAAATTAGGAGCTGAATTGAACTGAACTGATCTAAAATACAGAATTTAAGCCGAAGAAAACAGGCCCTAAGTGGTTGGCTGAATACCTTCCCTTTCCTCTTCTTCCTATAATTCTATCTCTTTTGCTTCTTTTCTTTTTTTCTCTTTTGCATGGAAATAGTTGGAATTGTTATAGAGTTAGTTTTTTTTTAGGTTAATTTTACGATAATTCTTATTGCGTTTTTTCTATATTCGCATTATATTATATACCAAGTGAAAAGTACTTTTTGCAAATGTTGTACATTACGGATTAGTAAATTTAGGACAATGGCTTCAATTTATGTGAATTTTTTTTTCGGGTGAGTGTAATTTTTCTGACCTTATACCAAGACTATACTTTTCTGGTTTTATAGTTGTGTGACTTTTAATAATATAAATCATGGAAAAAGCTTTATCACACAACAAAAACGTCTGTTTCCTAAGCAGAAGGTCGTAGGTTCGACCCTACCTGACGCGAACAATTATTTGCTTTTTTTTTTTTTTTTTTTTTTTTTTTCCATTGTTACTCTTCTAAAGAATACTGCAGATCAGTTGCATTTTTACTGTTTTAATTCTGTCTACTTTAATTGCACACGGGTTTTAACAACAAGAGATCGATAGATCGAAATGAAATTTATTTTACAACTTCACAAAAGGAATACGTTTCAGTTTCAAATAAAAAAAGGAGTGAAGAATTACAAAGTTTTTATTAGTAGTACGATGTACTCACTACATACATGCTAAATGTTCATAAGCGACTTCAAAAACATAATTACTCGTCACTCCCCCTAAGCGCCAACCTTTGAAACATTCTGCAGCTAATAATGATAATAATAATTCTAAATGAAGCTACATAACTTCTTCCATTGCTCCAAGTCTTATGGAATATTTTGCACTCTTATAAACTATATACACCTCAAAAAAAACCTTCAAGTTAATTATAATCTGTTCATAAACACCTTCGATTAATGCAAAAACGTCAACCAGCCTATAAGGAATGATATCAACTGCATCAGTCGATGATTAAGACCACATCTTGTTTGGTTGATAAGATGTTTGTGAATGTTGTTGAAAAGTTTGTTGTGCAGTGATCCTTTGCGAAATTCTTCTTGGAACTTGTTCTACTCCTTGTTCTGGTGTGGGTATGTCCTCTTCAAGTTTGTTACAAAACGTATCAAAATGCTCAGGACGGAACCACTCAGATGTCAGCTGCACCATAAACAAAAGAAATGGGAGACGGTGTCAATTGCCATGTTATTACAATCAAGGATGGATCTTTTGCTTTAGTTTGTGTCTCATTTTATGTCCCATTGTCAACTTTAACCAACATTTTAATATGATCTTAACCCATAAATGGAATCTGA